CATTCATTTCATTCATTCATTCATTTATTTCAGTCATTCATTCAATTCATTTCATTTCATTTCATTCATTCATTCCATTCATTCATTCCATTGATTCATTCATTTCATTCATTCATTCATTCATTCATTCATTTCATTCATTCATTTCATTCATTTCATGCATTCATTCATTCATTCATTCATTCATTCATTCATTCATTTCATTCATTCATTCATTCATTCATTCAATTCATTCATTCATTTAATTCATTCATTCATTCATTCATTCATTCATCCATTCATTCATTCATTCATTCATTCATTCATTTCATTCATTCATTCATTCATTCATTCATTCATTTCAATTCAATTCAATTCAATTCATTCATTCATTCATTCATTCATTCATTCATTCATTTCATTCATTCATTCATTCATTCATTCATTCATTCATTTCATTCATTCATTCATTCATTCATTCATTCATTCATTTCATTCATTCATTCATTTCATTCATTCATTCATTTCATCCATTTCATTCATTCATTTCATTCATTCATTCATTCATTCATTTCATTCATTCATTCATTCATTCATTTCATTCATTCATTCATTCATTCATTCATTTCATTTCATTTCATTTCATTCATTCATTTCATTCATTCATTTCATTCATTCATTCATTCATTCATTTCATTCATTTCATTCATTCATTCATTCATTCATTCATTTCATTTCATTTCATTTCATTTCATTTCATTTCATTTCATTTCATTCATTCATTTCATTCATTCATTCATTTCATTCATTCATTCATGCATTCATTCATTCATTCATTTCATTCATTCATTCATTCATTCATTCATTCATTCATTCAGTTGTTCTGCACTTCAGTTTGAAGTGCTATCATCATTTGACATCATACATCGGAGTAAAATGAGTAAAACATCAGAGTATTGAAGAGTATTGTGTCGCGGGACCTTGAGCATCTCAAAGAGCCGAATCTTTTGAATAGATTGTTCCTGCGGTGAGATGCACCTTGTGAATCCTTGTGACGTCTTGTGACATCTTGTGACACTGTGTGATCCTGTGCCCAAAAGTTGTTTCAACATTTTTAATGTTTAAACGTTTAAACCTTCATTTTTCAAGCAGTGCTGCGCACCTGAGTCCCACTCTCACTATACAGATGCTTCGGGATGTCTCGATTTTGGTAACCACGAAGGTTCATTAAAAGAGCTGTGAGAAAAGTGTGCGATATCCCGAGTGACCTAAATGACCACAACACATCTGATATACCTCCGCATCTCTCAGTTTGGCCTCGCCCACCAGTGTATCGAATGTCTGCAGGGCACGGACATAGAGAAAATGGTTCCATTGCTTCATCTGCAAGCTACATGGTATCCTTTGGTATCTTTGGTTTCCTTTGAGACTGACTTGAACTCACACAAACTAATATCACAACATTTCGTTGTGCGCCTCTTTGATCTCATCGTTGCTGAAGTGCATTATTCCCAACCTTAGGACCGTGAACACTGATCCCAATCAGATTCAATCAGTACGTTTTGGAACCGATCAGAAACTCTGCTTGGATCTGCATGGCCACGACACTGAGAGGCTTGCGCGCTCAAGAGGTTGGCAGTCCATGGGTTTTTTGGCCTGCGTTCCACGGGTTCCACGGGTTCATCATCTTGCCGTTTTTGATACAGTACTGCCAAGGCGGGTCCCAAAAAACAAATGAGATCTCCAAAAAGAAAAAACGATTGTCTGCATGTCACTGTGTGTATGTAAAATCTGACCAATCAAATAAGCAGCCACAGTGGCCAAGTCGCAATAGAGGCACCTACATTCATAAAATCGAAATGCATGGAAAGACGAGTGCAAATTTAAAAAATCAGGTGACAACTCCTACAATTACATGTTCTCGGAAACTTGTCTGGCTCACCCGAGGGCCGTAACATTCCTCGGCGCAACAGGGACAAACAAGCGTAGAATAGGTTTTGAATCCCAGGGCTGTTCATCCGTTGGCAATGGTCTAAATCAAATCACAAGGGCACGAGGTGCAGCTCAAGAATGTTGTTGGAACGTTGGGGGGCTGATTTTTTTTCATTCCCACCCTGAAACCAAAATAAGAATGCAGGCCAAATCAATAGAAACGACAAAATCGATAGAAACGACAATAAAAATTACTTCCTTCCGGCTCAGCCCTGCAAATGATCAGGGTCTGTGAATGTTTTTGAGATGTATATTGAGATGTGCACTGCATACCCCGGCGGCCGTCCCTACGTAGGGCCAAACTCCAAAGGACACACATAGACCACAACGTGACTGCAGTACGGGGCAGTTGATGACAGTTCCAGCAAGGTATCCTATCATGCTCGTCTCAACGAATCATCGTTTCCACAAGGAGTGATTCAAAGCGCTCCGGCGGGCTCAACACACAAAAAGAACAAAAAAACACAAACAAGTCTGAAAGAGCGTCACCCTGGCCCAACCCTGCAAGAGTGAAACTTGGTATCCCGTGTTTTGGTGCATAAACATCCCGTCGGGGGGAAAACCGCGCTAGCGGTTGTGAGCGTTTTGAAAAAAATCGTTTTCGCCATAGCGAAACTATTGATTCATTCCACCAAACAAATATAGGCTTAAAATTCCCCGGGAATTTGAAAAAAATGAAATGCATTTTTGATGATGTCCTGTAATTTACAGGGACTTTGCTCTTGAAAACGCGCGCGATGTTTTCCTCTTCTCACATCGCCATGGAGCGACCAGTGACCCCCAAAAGGTTTTTTGATTTGGAGTTCATCCAACGCCATTGCCACACCCTGATGTTTCGCATCAGTTTTGGGTTCACATGGCTGTTGACTCTGGTTGCAAGACTACATGGTATGGCCGATTTTATGAAACATAGCACTCTGACCCTGATTGTATGAAAAGCAAATCACAACATGGAGCTTAGCGTCGACAGGTTACAAGGTTTTGTTCCTGTTTTACATCTGTATCAACATCTGTGCGCATCCTACAATTCTGATGCCAGCAAGTGCGTGTGACGCAAGTTAACATGAACATTAACACACACACACACCCCACTCCCCCGAACCCAAGACATGACGTAGCATGTGTATGTAACGCACGTTAACACACCCCACCCCAACCCAACCCAAGACTCTAGACGTGACGTAGCATGTGCACGTGACGCAAGTTAACATGAACGTTAACACACCCCACCCCGCCCCAACCCAAGACGTGACGTAGCATGTGCATGTGACGCAAGTTTACATGAACGTTAACACCCCCCACCCCCTGATCCAGTAACATATGCGTGTTTTCAAAAACGTGCACGACTACTGGCACAGTTTTCCCCCCGCTGGCTTAAAAAAGTATAACACAGCGACATGACACTTGCATTGGTCGTTCCAAAGGTTGGCTTGTTTGAACGCCAAAAAACGAATCAAAATGATGGATTCTGGAGGAATCGGCGCAACAAAAAAAACATCCACGAACCTGAATGCACATCACATAAAACAGTTCCGCAAAACAACTTATTACAACAGTTTTGCATATTTTTCAACCGTTACCATACCATCGTAGGCTGTTGAGTGTGGAGTGTCAAGTCTAGAGTCTGGAGTGGGTAATGTGGAGTGTGGAGTGTAAAGTGTGGAGTGTGAAATGTAGACTGTACAGTGTGAAGCAAGGAACGGGAAGTGTAGATTGTGAAGTGCAAAGTATGAAGTTGGAGTGTAGGGCGTGGAGTGCAAAGTGAAGAGTGTAGAGTATGGACTGTGGAATGCATAGTGAAGAGTGTAGAGTGTGGAATATGGAGTGCAAAACTGTGAGCTAGTGTAGTGTGAATTGTGGAGCGTAGAGTGTAGAGAGCGGATGGTGTGAGGAATGGGGATTGGGTATGGTAGTGTGTGGAGTGTTAAGTATGGAGTGCGAGGAGTGCGGAGTGTGGGGTGTGAAGCATGAAGTGTGGAGTGCAAAGTGTCGAGAGTTAAGTGTGGAGTGAGGAGTGAGGAGTGTCAAGTGGTGAGTGTAGAGTGTAGAGTGTGAAGTGTGGAGCTTGGAGTGTACAGTACGGAGTGCACAGTGCAAACTATGGACTGTGCGGTGGGGAGTGTAGAGTGTGGAGTGTGAAGTTTAATGTGGGAAGTGGAGAGTATGGAGTGCAAGTATAGAGTGTATATAGAGTGTGGAGGAGTGTGGAGTGTAAAGTGTGGAGCTTAAAGTGCGGAGTGTGCAGTGTGGAGCCTGGAGTCCAGGAGTATAAAATGTAGAGTCAATGTTGGGAGTGGGGAGTGGGGAGTGTAGAGTGCGGAGGAGTGTAAAGTGTGGAGCATGAAGTGCAGAGTGTAATGCAAAGTGTGAAGTGTAGTGTTGAGTGTGGAGTGTTGAGTGTGGAGTGTAGAAAGTGAAGCGGAATCTTTGAAAAAAACAGAACGCAGGAGTGGAAAGTGTGAAATGTACTGGGTAGTTGGCAATTTTGCGTCATCACCCTTGCAACTTCACCAAATACGGCACCTGCCACGCAACATGGCAGGAAAGAGGCTCACCCAACACTTGCGGCAGTAAGATTCATTCACTTGCGGCAGCAAGATAAAAATCACTTGCGGCAGTAAGATTCAATCACTTGCGGCAGTAAGACTCTTCAAAACCAATCACTTGCGGCAGTAAGATTCTTGAACGTACTTACTGCCACAAGCGATTGGTTTTGCTTACCGCCACAAGCGAGGTAGGAGCCTGACGGTGGGGTCAGACAAATTCTGTTGTACCAGCAGTGACACACACACACACACCCCTACTACATCTCACATTGTTTTTTGAAAATCGTCCAAGTCCAAGCATCACATTTTAATATTCAGAGCCAGCATCATTGACAAATTTCCTCTAAGATTGTCATGCTCAGGGATTGAAAGTAGTGAAGTTAAACAATCACAACAAACAGCCTTGCTAAATCCACCCCAGTTACCGCCACAAGCGATTGAAAACAGAAACGCGATCTTACCGCCACAAGCGATTAGGCATTAAAATGCTGCACCTGCCACGCAGAAACAGCAATCACCTGCGGCAGTAAAAAAAATCGTTTGCGGCAGGTAAAAAATGAACATTTTTACTGCCACAAGCGATTGGCGCATCTTACCGCCACAAGCGAGGTACGAGCCACGAAAGACCAACCTCTCCCAGCCGATGTGGAAAGTGCAACCTGCAAAAACACAGTGTCCCGAGCACTGCGTCTTGCACGAAAAATGATCGACGAAAATAAGATCTCCACGATGTACTGCGTCTGTCGCGACATTTGCAATTTGCCACCACTTGACGCGGCAGTTCCACTGCGACTTGCGAAAAAACACGCGACACCACACGTCTGAAAATGCATATGGGCATCTCCAAAGTGCCGCGCTTGCCACCAAAAATGAAAGCCATTGTAAGACGGCTGTTCAAAAGTATTGGGTTTGTCACTCAAGGCGATTTTGGACGGTTTTTTGAACATATCGGCATGCCATGAAGTTTCAAGCGTGCCACACAAAACGACATGACACGTCTGTCAAAACATCTAATAATAATGACAGTTTTTGCAGTATTCGTCATAGGGACGGCCATAGGGCCCTCATTGTGAACGGGGCGAACGGTTGCCAACGGCAAAACAACATCGAGAGAACACACCTCCCTCCACCCCCAAACCTCCAAAGAAACGAGAACCCTTCGCTACGGACTCAGCTGTGATACGCCTAGCCTGTTCACACAATACATTACCAAAGGCATTTTGTATCGAAAGTGGGAAAAAGCTCGCCCACGTCTTTGAGGGTTATGAGCCCAACGGGTGCTGCTCTGTGCTAAAGCCATGGAGAGAGCAACTTCGGAACCCCCGATGCTGGTATGGGGAACCCTTTTTACTCAGAACGGAATCAAAGGGAGATAGTTCTTAGAGCTTCCAGACCGTTGGGACTGCCCGAACAGTCGCCAGAGTCGGATGTGGCGCCGCTTCATGGTGGACAAGGTGCTGGTGTTGGCACTGGAAAAGGCCGTGGAGGACAAGCATCTGGGACGCATGAGAGTGTCTATGAAACCCCACCCAGCAAGATGGATGTTCATGGAGGGGAAGGAGTTGTTCCAAAAAGGACGCAGGGTAGAATGCCGGATGAGTGTGATGCTACTATGGGGGCAACTGCAAAAGGTGCTTCAGGGGTAGCTGATCCTCAAGATGTTGGTCTTCAAAGGGCTTTGGAGGTTGAGTTAGTCAATCATCTTCGAACCCAAAACTCACAGTTGATGGAAGAGTTGGATAGGATGAGGGCTTTGTTGACACAAGCTGGAACTGGGTCCAATTCTTCGTGGTCGGAAGTCGGGGGAGCATCTGCATGTGCAGGGATTCCACCTGGTGTGACGGATGATGGTGGGCAGCGGCGTGGGGGTTTTCACACACCCAGAAGTTCCCAGAAAGCTGAGATGGGGAAGCGGGATGCTAGATTCACTCCAAGTGGAACAAGAATTCCAGACGGAACGCCCCCTGAAGCTGATGGATCTGAGCCACGTCATGTTCCTCAACCACCACCTGAGAAACCCAATGTTCCTCCTTTTCCAAAGTCTTTCATGTCGGATGGCAACATGGAGAAGTTTTTGGATAGCTATGACAAGATGGAGTCAGTCCCCAAAGCTTTGAAAGTTCAGCATGCATGGGAGCCCACAACAGAGATGTCTCCGAGGGCAGCTAGAGCGTCTTGGTTGGAACAAGAAGTTGCTTCTTTGAAGGGTTCCATGGCTCGTTTGACTGAAGGGAATGGTTTCAAAAATAGCGAGTACTGGTCCAAGGGATTTCACCCACCTACTGGTCCACCGGTTGTCCTGGGGTCTCAGCAAGCCGTTGCGAGCGCTGGCACTGATGTTCAGCGACTTCAAGATCGGGCTGGCAGCTCTGGCATGGTGTATGGCGGAAGTGGTGAAACTGCGCTTCATGATCGGGCTTGCACTTTGAGCAATGGTCACAAAGATTGTCAAGGTCAATTGCTTGGGGGATGTGGTGATCCGCGTCTTCAAGGTCGGGCTAGCGCTTTGAGCACTGGTCACACAGAATGCCAAGGTCACTTGCTTGGGGGAAGTGGTGCTGAACATCATCAAGCTCGGGCTTGCACTTTTGGCATTGATTCTCATAAAGAATGTCTTGGAGGCGATCTACATCCTCGAGCTCGGGCCTTGCATGGTGGGGGCACGGAACTTCTTGATTGTGGTGCTGGAGGCTTCACAGACCTTCCTGGGCATGGTTTGGGGGGTGGAGGAGCCGGAGTTGGAACGGACCGGACATATGGTCCATGGAATTGCAGTTTGGAGACTGGTTGCACCTTAGCACCCCGGTGATGAAGGATGTGTCTCAGGTGGCCGATTGGTGGTGGGAATCAACTTTGAGGGAGGCAAAGTGCTACTATGATCGATGGCGAAACAGCACGCCACTTCAGAGGATCCAGATCTGTCCAAGGTTGCCTGAGGACTTGAGTGAACGCCGATTTCAACGCACTGAGCAACGTGGGGTTCAAATGCTTTTGAAGGCCATACCAGCTGCAGAACAACAAGAGCTGGTAACAGATCGGGCTTTGAGTTCGACAGCAATCCTCTACAAGCTCATGGTGCGATTTCAACCAGGGGGCGCTGGAGAAAAGCAGATCCTTTTGAAACAACTGAACAGTATGCCAAAGATGTCAACGATTCAAGAGGTTGCTGCAGCTATCAGAAGCTGGCGTCGTCACTTCGGCAGAGCTGAGGAGGTTCAAGCAGTACTACCAGATGGGATTCTCTTGCTGCAGGCCTTAGATGACCCTTTGCAGAAGATTGCGGCTATGAACCAACAGGCAGCTTTCAGATTATCCCAGAGTAGGATGCAGCTTCAACTTGATCAACAACCAACTCAACGGAACCTCTGGGCATTTTCACAGTGCTTGCTGGCCGAGGCTGAGACGATAGCATTGCTTCAGACCTCCTCTACTTCGACTTCATCAACGGTGCCTCTTAAGCTGAAGCAAATGGATGGTGATGTGAAATCTCCTGCAAGACCGGGCCCTGGTGACGTCAAACCGAAGTCCAGTCCAACAGTTGACAAGCCATGCCGCTACTTCATGTCCGACAAGGGCTGCAAGGCGGGCAAAAGCTGCAAATGGCAACATGACTGGGACAGCCTCAACGACAAGTCTGAGCGTTGCTTCATCTGTGGAAGCAAAGAGCATCGCAAGAACGACTGCAAACTGAAGCCGGCTATGGGCAAAAAGCCAGGTGAGCCTGGTGCAGGCTCAGGGGGAGGACGTGGTTTTGGAGGTTCTCCGGCATCAAGTTCTACCTCTACGGCAACTGGTGGCAAAGCTGGTGCGGTCAAAATGGCCAAATCTTCCACGGATGAATCTTCTGCTGCAATAGCAACATCAACTACTGCAGAGGCAGGTGCCACAATTGTTACGCCTGAAGTGACAAGCTCCACTACCAATGAAAAGGATGGAGGTCGTGGGGGAGGGAACGATAGTGGCAACAAAGGTGAGAAAACAGCAGAGCTTTTGCATGAAGCAACGCAACTTTTGAAGTCACTGCGGGTTCAGCCCAAGATCAACGTCATGCAACTGGCGGGACTAGAGCAGGCGGAGAATGACTGGGTGTTGATTGACTCAGGTGCCACACATGCCCTACGTCCTGCACATGATCTACATGAATGGACCAATGCTGAAAGAACCGCGGTGCAACTTGCCAATGGAGACGGAAGCCTTTCGCCTCAAAAGGGGCACCAAGGTGTTGTTGGGGCATCCAACACAAACGACTTCAAGAATCGTGCCCATGGGTGGTCTCACGGCGCTGGACTTCACATTGCAGTGGTCTGGAGATCAATGTCAGCTGCGTGATGACGAGGGCAGAGAATTTGAAGTACGAGTTGTTCAAGGTTGCCCTATGATATCTCTAGCGGATGGCCAGAGAGTTTTGGAATGGTTGGAGTGGTATCAAGTGCATCAACAACGGAAGCTGGCGATGGTGAGATCTTTGCTGGCTGATGACACGCAAGTGGATCGACGGGGTCTGGATTTGGAGCTGGCTTTGACCTACAAGCTGCGGCAACTTTTTCCACATCTTCCTGATGAAGTGATGATGAGAGTGGCACCGCATCTGGAAATGGTCAAGACCGAGAACTTCGAGTCCAACCTCCCATGGAACCGGCACAAGCGCCGACGATTGCATCAAGCCAAGCATGTGATCCTCCACTTGTTCTCGGGCCCAGATCACAACTACTGGGATCAAAGATGCGCCAATGCCAACACGGAGGTGCTCTGCATTGATACCACATGCTCTACGCCTGCCAACCTTCATGACCGAAATGTGTTTGGCTATTTGCTCACACTTTGTGCAAGTGGGCGTGTCAGGGCAATTTTGGGTGGTCCTCCTTGCAGGACAGTGTCAGCTTTGAGGTATCAAAATGATGGTGGTCCTGGAGTGTTGAGAACAGAAGAGCATCCATATGGCCTCCCAACTTTGAGCCCTGCGGATGCAGAACTGGTGATTGCTGATTCAGTTCTGATGTTTCGTTTTTGGTCCCTGCTCATGGTCGCTGAGGAGATGCGTGAGGAAACAGACCCTCCGACACAGTTTTTCATGGAGCAGCCTGAGGACCCAAAACGGTATCGCTCAGAAGAAGATGTGCGACAGCACGAATACTTCTCAGTTTTTCGCACTGCTGAGTGGAAGGCCTTGGCGGAGAAGTACAACTTGGTGCAGTACCATTTTGACCAACATCCGTTGGGGCATCCAAAAAGGAAACCCACATGTCTGGCCACGAATGTGCAAGAAGTTCGGCATCTTGATGGAGTGCGTGGAGCCCCTAGCAACGAAGCTGATGCTGGAACTCAATTCAGGGCCATGACGGTTGAACAAAGATGTGAAGTTTCAAGAACTTGGTCTCTGGCCTAAAAAATGCGATTTCACTGGCCGTGAGCCAGCGGGTTCAGTGGCTTGACCGGCATCCTGATCAGATCCTGATCAACCACAACAACCAGCGGTCAGGACCCTGGGCGCCGCAGCTCTCGAGTCATGGAAAACGCATTACCTCCACGACCATATGCCCTATCGTAGAGATTGCCAACAATGTGTCAGAGCGCAGGCTCGTGGACGCCCACATCGGCGAGTTCAGCATCCGGAAGCGTTCACACTATCAGTGGACCTGAGCGGCAAGTTCACGCCGGGCATCAACCAGGAGCAGAAGCAGTGCAAATACCTGCTTGTGGGTGTCTACACCTTCCCAATAACCAGAGATGGTGAGCCACTTGCTTCTCCGGATGGAGTTGAACCACAAGATCAACCACTTCCTGGTTTGGATGAGTTCTCAGGGGAAGATGAAGCTGAAGAAGGGCAAGATCTACTACAAGAGCAAGATGATGGCAATGTTGATGTGGAGGGTCAGGGCGAAAATGAGGACCAAAAGGCCGACACAACAGCACATGGCTGTTTGCTGGCATGGCAGAAACTTGTGGAGGAATCCATGAACGTGACGGTGAAGAACATCATTTTTGTGGAGACCATTGAAAGCCGTCACTCCCAGCATGTCTTGCCTGCCATTGCCAAGATTTACAGTCGCTTACGACAACTTGGCCTTCCAGTGATGAGGTTGCACTCGGACAGAGCCAGAGAATTTATTGCAGCTCCTTTGCGAAGGTGGGCACAGCATAGAGACATTGCCCTCACAAAGACAGCAGGGGATGACTACAAGGCCAACGGACGCTGTGAAGCGGAACTTGGAGTCACCAAGCGAGCAATCCGCACGGTGATATCTGCTGGCAAGTACAGCATCAACTTGTGGCCGTTGGTGGCAAAACATGTTGGAGAACGTCGTCTACGTGCTCAACTGCGTGCATGTGGATATGCAGCTGGAGACCTGCTGAAGTTTGGAACTCAGGCATTCGCTCTTCGAAAGTGGTGGCAAAGTCGCTATGATGAGTGGCGTGACATCAGAGAGCCGGTCTTGGTGTTAGGACCCGATGCCTGTATTTCGTACAGTCCATTGACACGGGCAGGTACTTCTTCACGGCCGATGTCATCACCCCTGACTTTACGGCGACGGAGAGTGCTGTTCTTGGACAAGATGATGATCAGCTTGCTGATGAAGGTGCTGCTCCGCGACCACCAGGGGATGACAATGCCATCTACTTGCCTGAACGTGATGAGGTTTCTCGCCCTGCTGGCATGGATCTTCAACCAGCACGACGGCTGAACGGCAAAACAAGGCCTGCCATGTTGCATCGATTGATGCGCGCACCAATCGAGGGGGAGGATGATCCCTTTGAAACTCTTGGCCGTGTGAATGCGCCATCGTGGGAAAGAGACAGAGACGATAGCTGGACTTTGGAGACAGTTCCATCACCAGACTCATCTCTTGACGGATCCGGAGGTGGGGAGGAGGAGGAGGCGCCTAATAGTCAGTGCGGTGGCTCAAGCCTGACAGCCTCACAGGAATATGAAAACTTCTTACAAAAAGTGCAGCACAACTTGCACATGTTGGTGATGGAGGAGGTGTCCCACATTGATGGCACGGCAGATGAACAGGCCTGGTGCATGCCCATCTTGAAAGAGATGCTGGTGCAAAAAGCGGAGGTTGAAGAGGAGCTCACCATGATCAACAGGGGGAAAATAGAAGTTCTGGCAGGTGAAAATGAGTTTTTGGTGACCAGAACGGTATCCAACAAAGAAGTTTGGGAGGACATTCGAAACTGGGAGCCCTCAGTAAGAGCTGAGTATGAGCAGTTGGTGAACCAGAAGCAGGCAGTGACACAGATGACGAAGTCTCAGCTTCGACAACTTGCTCAAGAAAAACAGCTTCCAATTGAGCTTCTCCCAGCAAAAATGGTCCACACTCGAAAGGCCAACACCGGCGCATACAGATCTCGTGCTGTTGTATGTGGCAATTTTTCAGGAAGTTGGCACAGGAGATCGATACGCTGGAGGTGCTGATGGATGTCAAGTCAGGGCTTTGATCAGAACCGCGGCTTTGCGGGGATGGAGCCTTGCAGGAAGCGACATCAGGGTAGCGTTTTTGAATGCTCCAAAACGTGACACAACAAAGATCACGGCGATGGAGGTGCCGACCATCTTCAAACATCTTGGTTTGGCTGATGCAGAAGATGTGTGGATCATAGAAAAAGCCCTTTATGGGTTAGTGTCTTCGCCAAGAGACTGGGGCATCCATAGAGATGAGGTGTTGCCCACTTTGCGCTGGCACCGGAAGATTGGAGATGTGGTCCTTGAAGGGCGACTTGTCCACTCAAAGGATGAGAACTTGTGGCGCCTGGTGGAGGTCAACAAGGAGACAGGCACTGAAAACTGGGCAGGTTTGATGTCAGCGTACGTTGATGACATTTTGGTGTCGGGAGAGCCACAAACAGTGAAGTTGGCCATGGAAGCGATCCAAAACACGTGGGCACTATCGGAGGTGGAATGGGCTTCTGATAAGCCTCTGCGCTACTGTGGTTTTGAGATCAGCATGGGTGCTGCTGGAGATGGATTCTATGTGTCCCAAGGTATGTATGAACAAGAACTGATGACAAGATGGGACATCAAGGAATCACTGCAGTATCCTGCTTTCAAGGTCACGGAGGATGATGAGCACTTTGTGGGGGAGATTGACCCAAACGACGTGCGAACTGCCCAGATGATGACTGGAGCACTCCTATGGCTTTCAACCAGAACCAGACCAGATTTGGTTTTTGGAGTTTCAGCAATGAGCAGGCTGACAACAAAGAACCCCAAGAAAGCGGTGGAGATTGGGTATGTCCTGCTCAAGTACCTTTATGGAAATCCTGGTGGAATGCACTATCCACAAACGATTCCTGGAGGCGATTGGGGGCGACGAGGCCAACTGAAAGCAAGACGGCATCAGAAGATGTTGGAAGTTTTTTCAGACATCTCATATGCTGCGGGCGCTGACCATAGAAGCATCCAAGGTCTGGTGGTGTACTATGCGGGAGTTCCCATAGCATGGCAGTGTGGAGTTCAACCTTTTGTGGCGCACTCAACTGCAGAGGCTGAACTCATCGCATATTGCGAGTCTTTGGTGGTTGGAAGAGCGACAGAAGCGCTTTTGGCAGCCATCTGGCAACAGTGGAATTTTGAGAAGGTCATCTATGGTGACAATGCTGGAGCAATCAACTTGGCTCACGGTGTCACTACGGCATCCTGGCGCACATGTCACCTCAGAATCCGGGCCAGTGTGCTGAAGGAGGCTTTGGATGAGTCAAACCGCAGGATTGGTGGAGGATGGAGGCTTTTGCATCTCAAGGGCACCGAGCTAGTTGCTGATGGATGCACCAAACCTCTTCAAGGCCAAGCTTTCACGCAGTTTGTAGATGATCTTGGTTTGCGAAGAACAAGAAGGGAGCATCGATCTGTTCCTGAGGACAGACCTACTGCTGGTGGTGAACACCATGGTGCTGCAATGCGGGCGATGATGGTAGGTGGTATGTTGCTCTCTGCGGCGGAAGCCTATGAAGAAGAACCGGAAGCTGATGGAGATTTCACCTGGGTCTGGGTGACAGGAGCCGTTCTTATGGCTATGGGCGCAATCTATGCTGGGCAGCTGCTTCATAGTGCATCGATTGCGGTTGTCTGAGGGCGGTGAAGGTCTTAGACTGGACGCGATGGTGAGCGAAGCCGAATCTTCTGGTGAAGAAGCTGCGCTGATGACGTCTGATGATGAAAATGGAGAACCATCGACTTCGAAGAGGCGCGGGAAGGGCGTTTCAACATCCAGGAAGAGCGTGCGACAGTCGGGCTCAAGCAGTGCAGTTCGCACTACATCCATGAGTTTGACATCACGCTCGGGCTTGGTGCACCAGGATGGAAGCGGATCTTCTTCGCCTTTGAGGAGGAGGACACAATCGGGCTCTGGCAGTGCAGCTCGAACTACATCTCAAAGAATGACGGCACAGTCGGGCTTGCATGGTGCTATGAGCACTACAACTCAGAGTTTGACCTCACTGTCGGGTCTTAGCAGTGGTGAAGTGTCCAAGCGATCTCATGAGGCTGGGCGTGGGTCTTTGTCTTTGACGGGACGATCGGGCTCTTGCAGCGCTTCTGGGGGAACTTCATCATTGGATCCGATGCCACGATCGGGCTTTCAACTGGCAGCAGCGGGCGAACCTGCTGAGATGTCAGCATGCGCTGCGGATGGTGGTAGCGTAGGTAGAGCAGTGGAAGAGAGACGGCCACATGGGCTGCAGATTTCCAATCCGTGGAACCTCTTCCAACATAGCCATAAAAATAAAGGGCTGACTTCTACCCATTTGTCCAAGATGTATAAAGACGAGAAGTCACCAGGTGCAAAGATGCCTTGAGCCCTCAATTTTTTTCCCCATCAATTTGTCTGGCGACAAAGGGGGAGCCTGTTCACACAATACATTACCAAAGGCATTTTGTATCGAAAGTGGGAAAAAGCTCGCCCACGTCTTTGAGCCTAGCATTAATGGGGTGGATGTTTGTCCACTTTCATGGTCTTGCACGTTTCCATGCAAAGAGCTGCAGGGATGCCCAGGTGGAACATGAGTACAATATGGCCATGCACATATGAGTTGAGTGAGCTGCGTTAGGGCCGTTGGGGGTGAAGCCTTCTAGATTGAAGCCGCTCCCCTCACCAGTCTGGGGTGGGTCTAAGTGCGTACGAATGTCTGCATATCAGGATGAGACACAAGCGAATTCCGGACAGAATTCGCTCAATCACCTTCTTTTGGTCCTTGAGCCAAAATACATGATGTATAGCAACTGCTGCTTGCTGCTTGCTGTTTTCTCAATAACCTCGGAATCAATTTCAGAAAGATTCAAAGCATACTGAATAAATAAGCAATAATTAGCATAGTGCCAATCTACCCACTTCCTTGAAACCGGTACATGAATATCATGAATCCTGATGGTGAAGCATGTTTTCTTGCGTTCCGTGAAGATTCCGTGCCATCCGCTGCACCGCGCAAACGTAGCGCAAATTATATACACAATCCTTGGCTTTTCCTTCCGCAAACCGGATGGGAAGGAGATGCAAGGAGGAAAAATGAGGAAAAGCCATAAACGGACAATTTCCCGACTTCCCTCCGTGCGTCATTTGCGAACTACAGTAAATAGTAAATATGATACACCGTTTCTCTATCAACCAGAACTTTCCTCAAGGGCAGACTGCCAGGTTCGCTTCCGCGTTGGAACTGTAAGCACCTACGGACCGTCTCAGCATGTCTCAGCAATCACCATAGTGCTTGCAACCTCTCACTCCGACAAATGCCTGCCTTCAAGCCACAATGCCTCTTTGGAATGGCAGTTTCAATGTCCTCACCCACAGGAATCTTCTCAAAACCAAGCCAAGAACGGAAAACTAAAAGCCAAAGAAAGGATCAACGAATCAACAAGGTTTTATTCTAATAAGACCAAGACAGTGGCTACCTCAGCCTCCGTCCTGAGAGTGAATTTCGTGCAAATGCTTGCCACGCAACCGTATGCTTGTTTTGAATCCATTTAAACTCTTCTGAGCTGACAACCAAGTTCTTTTTAAATTATTCATTGCGTCCTGCAGCAGGATTGTTTTTCAAAAGTAACATGAATGAAGCTGCCAATGTCGATGATTTTGAAAATGTAAATATTAGGCCACGGCTAAGGCCTGCACACACACTGCATAGCACGGCCGTCGTTTGATAATCCTTCAGCAACAGTCTAGGCAATGACATATTTTTGTGTCTACTTCATGCGCCTGAAGTCACAAACGACTTTCAATATTCACACATTATGCTCACCCTTGCGTCCAAATGAAACCACTTTGGTGATGGAAACTGCAAATGCCTTTGTCGAAACTGCCAACGAATACAGCATCTGTGCACCATGGCCAGGCTGACCAGTCCCTTGGGCACACGTTTGCACAATGGAATAGCCCGGCATTGCTGGCATTTCTGGCACACCAAATAAAAATCGGTCCTGGTGATCAAGAGATTCAGATCTAAAGACAGATGCTTTTCATGTCCATTCATTGTTCTCATCTTCTCTCACAGTGGAACTGAAAAGGCAGCTACGCTGGTTGTGGATAGCCACCTCAGGTTGGGTTTCAAGTTCAAGCAATGAAACGCAACTGAAACCGTTTCATTGGCCCTGAAAACTGAGCGAGGTACCATGTACAGGCCGGGAGTTTGCAGTCATGAAAACCATTACAAATCACTGTCAATTTTTTCAAAACATTGAGACTTCCAACCCTCACCTTCTCAGGTGCGTGTGTGCACTGGTTGATATGAGAATAGGAACAAACTAACAAGCTGACACAGGCTGACACGTCAAGTCAAAGCCAATGTATCTACACCATGAGTTGGAATCTCTGTAGGTTGTCGGCCGCAGACACCATTCACACTGCTGTTTGATTGTCTTTGTTGTGAAATTGTCAGTTTTGTGAAATTGAGCCAGCTCGTTGTCATCTCTCGCCACCTGACTCAGAGTTCATGAGCCTTTAGACCCAGGTGCATTCACGGTGTATATAAATCCGCCTGCGCCGAAGTTGACGGAGCGTGGTACTTTCGTGGTGGAGCAGGCGAACGAATCAACACATCACAGTACAGTTTCAACTTTGGAAGGGCCCCATGTTCGTCAAAAAATGCGCAAAACTGTTGTAATTTGAACCATTTTCATATCGCCGCAACATCATCCAAGTTCACCGTTTCAGCCCTACAACATGGGTTGAACTTGGGCCCAACTTGCACCCACTTGGCTCCACTTGGGCCTAATTTGGGTTGAACATGGCGCAACTTCGTCCCAAGTTGAGATCCACATGGGCTCAACATGGGAAACATGGCCGGCCCAATACGAAATCCTCAAAACACGCGTTTTTACTGGTATTTGCGATGTTTTTTGGCATCAACGAAGCTTCGAATTGAGCAATTTCGCGCACGATGTGTCTACGTTGGGCCCAACATGTCGCGAAGCTGCCGCCAGCGGGTTCCAAGCTGCGCCATGTTGCAAATGAATTGGACCTATACATGTGCGTAGGATGGCTTCAACTTGGGGTCCATCTGGGTCGGCTTTGTCCCAACTTCAGCTCAGCGTAACCCATTTTTTCAGACTCGGGCCAAATACAATGATTGCATCCAACATGGCACATTGCCGACTCAACGCCAAATGCTGAAAACACGCGTTCATGCTAATTCCAATGTTTTACGGGCTTCAATCGGGGTTCGTACTGAGCCATTTTCCCCAACTTGACCGCCCCCACGAAGGTCCAACTTGCGTCATGTTACACCAAACTTGTGCCCAAAGGTGCACAAGTTGCGCCATGTTGGACCCCAGTTGAGCCGAAGCTGGAACCAAATTGCCCAAGTTCCGCGCAAGTTGCCCCAGTCAGGCCAAGTTGGACCCAGTCGGCTTAGGTTTGTCCAAGTAGGCCCGTGTTCTTCACTCCGCATCCCCAGCTACCATACGCCTTCACCATTCCTGACTCCGGTAATATCCCTGCTGGCTACAGCCCGTAGCCTTTCGCACAATTGGGGCGCGGGCGGTGCCCGTCGCGAAGCGGCTAGATTACGTATAAAAATAAGTATATGTATATATATATAAATATATATATATATATAAATATATAAATATGTGTGTCTATATACTTTTATGAGTTGTTGTGATGCATGGATGGCAGAGCAAATCCGTTGATAGAACGAAAGGGGATCTGTGTTTTTTGGATTGGCTGCAATGGTTGCAGTGGTCACCTCACCCACACTTGCTGGATGTAGTGTGGTGTAGCGCAGTTGCAGTTGTACCTGTAGTGTGGTGGAGTTGTAGTTGTAGTGTAGTGCAATTAGTGTAGTGTAGTTGCAGTTGCAGTTGTCGAAGGAAGTTTAGAAGTCAAACTTCCGACAATATGGAGAGATGAAAAGCAGAGCAGGGCAGAGGCAGAGAGAAGAGGAAGATTAGAAGAGAGAAGATCAGAAGAGAAAGAGTAAGAGGACAGAAGATACAGATGCGCGAAAAGGTAGGAAAGTCGCGAAACACTGTGTTTTCCAATGATTTGTGGCTCCGGAGGGTCGAAAAGTAGGCTCGCTAAAGCGGAGGGTGCGGAGCCGCTGGCCCACAGAGCGATGAAAAAATTGCACGCGTTGTGGCGCAGAAGCACATTTCGAAGTCAAAAGTGTTAAAAACTGGCGGTCTCGGACCACTTTTGGAAGTTGAGATGTCAAAAAAGTGCACGCCGTTGTGGCGCGAAGCACATTTCCAGGTCAAAATGTACAAAACACCTCAGCTTCGGACCACTTTTGGAAGTTGAGATGTCGAAAAAGTGCACGCCGTTGTGGCGCGAAGCACATTTCCAAGTCAAAATGTACAAAGCACCTCAGCTCCGGACCACTTTTTGGAAGTTGAGATGTCGAAAAAGTGCACGCCGTTGTGGCGCGAAGCACGTTTCGAAGTCAAAATGTGAAAAGCACGACATGCTTGGACCACTTTTGGACGTTCAGATGTCGAAAAAGTGCGCGCCGGGGGGGCGCGGACAGCACATTTCAACTACACTTCACTACAGGGACACTAACTACACTCCATTACACGACAACGACAACGACAAACGACGACAACGACACGCCACGACAACGAAAGGACACGACACGAAGACACGGCAGCGAAGGACCACGGGACAGACAGGCATCGGACACGCCACTTGTTTGGGGTGACACGGGACACTACCTTCCATACACGTCAATACAGGACACTACAATACACACTACCAACTACAACTACACAACAACCACTCCACTACACTAATTGAAACTACACTGCCACTTACACAATTTTACATCTACACTACATTATACACATGACGCTACACTACAGACATTACACTACACTACATTACAAGAATTGAAACTGCACCAGAGATAGGACAGGTAGACAGATAGACAGACAGATAGATAGATAGATAGACAGATAGACAGGTAGACAGCTAGACAGATAGACAGATGAAAGAGAGAGAGAGAGAGATAGATAGACAGACAGACAGATAGATAGATAGATAGGTAATTAGATGGAAGAGAGAGAGAGAGAGAGAGATAGATCGATAGATAAATAGATACATAGATAGATAGATCGATAGATCGATAGCTACATAGAAGATAGATAGGTAGGTAGGTAGGTAGATAGTCAGAGAAAGAGAGAGAAAGAATGAGAGAGATCAAGCACCTTTCGGTCCATCAGTGGAGTCGCTGTGCCATCCCTGATTCACAACAACCAAGCTTTCCTATAGGTTTCCTATTTTTGAAACTTCCGCCACCGCCTTGCGCGGTACTACTGGTAGTTGTGGTCTGGTGTAATTAGTGTCGTGTGATGTAGTGTAGTGTAGTGTATTGCACTGTAATGTAATGTAGTGTACTGTAGTGTACTGTAGCATACTGTAGTGTACTGTAGTGTACTGTAGTGTACTGTAGTGTAATGTAGTGTACTGTAGTGTGCTGTAATGTTGTGTACTGTAGTGTAGTCTAGTGTCGTGTGAAGTAGCGCAGTGGTAGTTGTAGTTGTAGTTGTTGTTCTTGTTGTTGTTGTTGTTGTAGCGTAGTGTAGTGTAATCGAAGGAAGTTTAGAAGTGAAACTTCCGACAATATGGACAGTTGAAAAGCAGAGGTGAGAAGAGTCAGAAGAGAAAAGATCAGAAGAAAGAAGATGCAGGTGCGCGAAAAGGTAGGAACGTCGCGAAACACTGTGTTTTTCCAATGATTTGTGGCTCCGG